TCACTAACACAGATCAGAGAATCAACAGTTAAGACACAAAATATACACATATGAATTGGTCCATAGGGAGAGACCAATGTCCATGAATCTAGGTAAATGTCCATACATGTTGTAGAATGTTAAAGTGTCCTGGATCATCACCACAGTCTTTCTAGTTGGACACTAACTGCCCAACATACCCTCCTGCATCAACAAGGAAAAACTCACAAAAATCCAGTGGGGAAAAAAGTAAGAAACCTCAGGGAGACCCACATATTGAGAACGGGATCCGCTTCTACACGGACGGACGGGCTAATGATCCAGGACCTAAGCTAAAGAACGAGGACCAATGCCACGCAGCTGCCCCAGAGCGTGGACAAGACAGACAGGCCCATGAAAGAAAGCTGGCTGAAATACACAGAGCTTGTAGGGCACACTGGAAGTAAGCTTGGATTCTCTGTAGCCTCCAATATCGCAGTCCTCGGATGACGTGGACTGGCGCTGCTCGGACGCAATCAGGACTTGACCGTTCCTGATGAGTCACCAGGGAGAGGGTCTGAAGCTGATCGACCCGAAAACCCCAATTACCACAGGAGCGTCACTGATAATGAATCCCAAAGCATCCTTGAGAGGTGCATTGAAACCTGAGCTACTGAAGAAAGAGTCAAGTTAGTTGTTACTCACAGAAGAATTTATGTAGAGACAACTTTTCGTTAAGCTAGATTTTGATTTTTTGTGTCCGTTTTATTTACCTTTATTAAACCAGTTTGAATTTCTGCTTTAGCTGCTCACAGCTTCTCTCCACAAGCTGTTATCATTCTGAACAAAGCACTGTAATGATCTAGCACTTATTGAAGCAATTTTTGTTGATTAGTTTCCTATACTTTTTAGCTTGTTTTATTTATGCATTTGGCAGGTCACTCCGGGGTACTTTTTCAACACAGAACAAAGAATAAAAAAAGTTCAAACACAAGAAATGCAATAATTTCAGAGTCATTGGTGCATAAGGTGTGGATGATCAATGTCGTTGAATGTCGAGTGTCCTGGATCATCACCACTGTCCTTAGACCCTCCTGCATCAACTATAAAAACCCAGTGGGAGAAAAGTGAGAAACCTTTGGGAGGCCCACAGTGGCTTTACTGCAAGTGGAAATCATGTGAATCTGATTACACATTACTCAAGCATATGTTCCAAGCATTTAACTGAAATTGGAAATCACTGTGGAAACATACACTTGGCATGTATTTTTGTCAGATCAGGCATGCAGTGTGTGTAGTCCATCTTGCTACAGCAGGCGCACGTCCTGGCACCTCCGCAAGCCTTTCCATTCTCTACATGGCCTCGCACCAAAATACATCTGCAACATGTTAGTGCCATATGAACCAACTAGGACTCTGAGGAGCACAGGGACTGGCCTCCTGCTGGGACTCTGGGGAGCACAGGGACTGGCCTCCTGTTGGTGAGGCAGCATCTCAGATTCCATCCATCCATCCATTTTCTTCCCCTTAATCAATTTCTGGTTCGGGGGGGTGACAGTCAGAGTTGCACCCAATACACAGAGCACCAACCTCTCACTGATCCTCCTGCAGGTAGAGAGTCCACAGGAGCTGAGATCTTTCAGTGGGCAAAGTGGGGTTAAGTGTCTTGCCCAAGGACACAACGACAGCAGACATCAGTGGGAGTTGTGAAGTATAGGTCTCATGGTGGGCTCGAACCTACGACCTTCAGGCTCAAAGGCCAATGCTCTACCAACTGAGCCATTTTAGCTGCATAAATCATAAAGATTCATGCAGCTAAAATCTGGCACAGTCTTCTTGAAAATGTGAGACGTTGTAAAGTGAATTGAATTGGCTCTCCTGGGAGAAGATCTCATTCCAAAGACACGCTTGGGAGATGGATCTGTAGCCTGGAAATGCCTTAGGATTCATTCTCTCCTTCTCAGACAAACAACAACAATCAAAATACAAATAATGTTGTTTCTTTTCCATATACGACGAACGACGTTTTAAACTCCAGCAATGAGAAAAACCTGGTCTAGATTAGTCCGTAGCGTGACCCGATCCGTCCCCTGTGCTTGTTATCAGCCTCACACTGTCGCTTCCAGTTCAGCGTCAGAAAATCCTCCACATTTTGTTCCTGAATCTGACAGTGGGAGCGGGTGTGGGAGGGGAGGTGGTGGAACCGACCGAGCCAGATGTGCTCCTCTGCCAGACGAGCACCGCGAGCGTGGGACCGCGGTCTGACAGCAGCCACGTCTCCATGACAACGGCCAACCCCGGCGCCAACATCCACGAACATAACACAGCAGAAATATTAGCTCTTGTCGGAAATACGAGACCTCCGAGAGGGAAAATAACTCACATCTATGTGCTTATAAACTTGATGGAAAAGTAGCCTGTGTAAAAATCCCCACGCTCTCTGTATGAGGGGGATGATGTATATTAGCATAAAGTTATTGGATAGACATCAGTGACGAGGAAATTATCAGATATATTACACTTTTTCCACTGATGCTGTGTTTTCGACCATGTTCAAATGCTGTTTATTTTTCACTACGGATTTCAGATACAGTAGATTGCACACAGGTGGACATCATTTCACTATTTATGTGACTTCTGAAGGTAATTGGTTGCACCAGAGCTTTTTATGGATTCATAACAAAGGGGTGAATACATATGCACATTCCAATTTACAGTTTTTTATTTCTGAAAAATAGTTTTATTTATATATTTTTCTCAATTCACTTCACCAACTTAGACTATTGTTTTCTGATCCATTACATGAAATTCAGATAAAAAAAACATTGAACTAAAGGCTGTAATGTATGAATACTTTTGCAAGGGCACTGTACATTACATTTACTGTGCATTTCTGCGTACAGCTAATGAATGGGGTCCGACATAAACTACAATATAGTAGAAATACTTGCATGAAAAAGCCAGATCCCGAGGCCTGGTTAGTACTGTGATGGGAGACCTCCGGGAACACCAGCTGCCACAGTGGGGCGGCTGTAATGTTTCAAACTGTTGATGTGTCCTTTGGCAATACACTTCATCCACATGACCTTGTGTGTGTGAATGGTTGGTGGTGGTTGGAGGGGCCGATGCATATATTCTAATTTGAATTTTACTATGTTGAATTTTTGAATGATGTACTTTACTTTTCATTTTAGTTTTGTTTTTGCCTCTGTTTAGGTGTGGCAAAAGTTTATGTGCTATGTGTACTGGGTTCAGCTCTGACTGCCATCCCCCCAGACCCACAAATGGATTAAGGGGAAGAAAATGGATGGATGGTTGGATAGGTGTGTGTGTGTGTGTGTGTGTGTGTGTGTGTGTGTGTGTGTGTGTGTGTGTGTGTGTGTGTGTGTGTGTGTGTGTGTGTGTGTGTGTGTGTGTGTGTGTGTGTGTGTGTGTGTGTGTGTGTGTGTGTGTGTGTGTGTGTGTGTGTGTGTGTGTGTGTGTGTGTGTGTGTGTAAAAAAGGTATTAAGGAAAAAAGTGCTAATCTAAACCATTCAAATAAAATGAAACTAGTAAATTATACAATACTAATAATAGTTCCATCCCACGTTGTGAAAGGGTCGACAACACCCACAACACGTGAAATCGTCAGAAATGTATTTAGAAAAATATCTCTTTTCTTTCTGCACATAATAATAATCCAGCTGCCTCCAGGTGTGAACGGCCTGTTGGAAAAGCAGAGACTCACCTGGGAAAGACTAACACTGAGTTATTATGCCCTTGAGCAAGGCACACTACGCAAAAGTCCAAGTTTAATAAGAGAGAGGGGCAGGGGGACTCTGTTTGGGGCTTTACGTTTTATCAAAGTCATAACATTCCCAGCTTTGGCTTTATGTCAAAATCTCAAACTGTATTATTGTGGTTTCATCTTTTTACCAATATCTTCTGTGGTTATAAAAGCGATAAAGGCTTTGGGGGAGACTGTGCTTTTATTTGGCAGCAGCTTATTCTTATCTGAAATGGAGGAATTCAGGAAGAATTACACAAAACAATCTCTCTGCTGCACAGTCCAGGAGAAAGGCCTCTGTGGGGTTTGGTTTTGGATTTTTGACAAATTATTAGAAGGAAAAGTGCATTTAGAGATTGTTCCTCATCAGACACAGACCTGGAGTGGGTTTTAGATCTGTCCATGCCAATATCAGGAGCTGGCATGGACAGATGGGAAGGAGACGGTTGGAGAGAGTGGAGGAGACTGGGAGAAGAGAGGAGACTGGGAGGAGAGACGAGACGAGACGGGCTGGAGAGGAGACATGGAGACGAGGAGAGGAGACAGGGAAAAGAGGAGAGGAGAAGGGATGGAGAGAGGAGTGTAGACAGAAGAGACAGGGAAAAGAGGCACTTGTGGAGGCACTTAACCCAGCTCACCCAAACATGTGTGTGTATTTATGTGAGTGTGTGTAGCTGTGTGTCTGTGTATGTATGCGTGCGTATATGTGTGTGAATATGCGTATGTGTATTTGTGTGCATGTGTGTGTATTTGTGTGAGTGTGTGTAGGTGTATGTGTGTGTGATCTGCATGTGTATATGTGTATGTGTGTGCACATGTGTGTGTATATATACATATATTGGGGATACATATGTATATGTGTGTGTGTTGTTTGTTTGTATAAAGATCCCCAATAGCGAATGTACTGTATATTTCAGTAGCTATTGTTGATCTAGATCTATTGATCTATGTTTTTGTGTTTGTGCGTGCATATGAATGTGTTAGAGAGTGATTGTGTGTATGTGTGTGTGTGTGTACAATGAATTCTAAATGGCCAATCTTAGCTGTAAGAATCTGTCCTTTTGAATCCTGTGAAGAACAGGCTGGGGATGTTGTCATAGACGGGAGAGGACGGTAGAGAGAAGAAAAGAAGAGGAGGATTAATTTACTACGTCAAGCATTGCATGTTTGGTCTTCTCTAAGTAACCATATAATATGCAGTTGTGTGTGTGTGTGTGGTAATGTGTCATGTGTCTTCCCAACGCAAACGGCTTCCTCCTGTGTGTGTGTCTGCAGCGCGGCGGCTCGGCTCACAACTGCGGGCGTCTGAAGGTGGGTCAGATTCTGCTGGAGGTGAACGGGCTCCCGCTGAGGGGCCGCGAGCACAGGGACGCAGCCCGCATCATCGCTGAGGCCTTCAAAACCAAAGACAAGGACTACGTGGACTTCCTGGTCACGGACTTCAATGTGGCTCTATAGCTGCTGCTGCTGCTGCTGGACTGGGACCCATCCAGAACTTTGCACAAACTCCTTCCTGTGAAACTCGAGAGGATTTATGGGCCCCTCCCAAGAAGTGTTCAGGAAAATAACAGATAAGGGTGACCACCTTTTTTTTTAATGTGTTTCTCTTTCACCAACATTTAGAGGAGGCTCAAAGAACGTCTTTGAGGGTCTTGAAAAACGCTCTATGTTATTTTTTTCATTCAGAATCAGAATTATTTATTTATATTGCCTTTGTAAGTAACAAGAAGTCACAAACAAGGAAGTTGCTTTAGCTCAAGGTGCAAACAGGTCATAAAAGTATAGATATAAGACATGCATACATAAAATCTCAGATAACATTTCTTAAAATTACTGCTATATACAAGGGCACACTAAGTCACACAACAGACGTTTAACAATGCAGTAAAGTGACAGAAGTACAATGTGACAGTTACTATTAGCAGCGCCACGGAATCAGTAGACTGAGAGAGAAGCCAAAAGTCCAATCTCACTGAATCTGTCCCTTTTTACCAGTGCTGGCTTTTCAATGAGACATGACTTTATGCAGCTTTTAAAGTAGTTTTACGAGGGTTTTATGCGTTTTTCTGCATTGTCATGAGCCTCATTCCAAAAAAAACCCGGGTCGCGTTTCCCTTCTGTCCTCTTCCACGTGTCCCGGAGGTGGTCACCCGTCGTCCTCAACCTGTTACCTCCCGACTGTGAGAACTTTATGCACTAAACCGCTGGCGATGGTGGACCTTCACTTTTTTTCTGTCTTCATGGATAAATGCTCTTTGGACGTCAAACTGTAAAACTGCTTTCTCCTGGTCTTGTCACAGTCAGAGCCTGGGTTAGAGATATTCGGTCACTAAATAGATTCCAAATATTACCAATTTTGAAGGATTCTAGATTGTTTTTTTATGTAATTAAATCAGACTGAAGAGAATAGTGTATATTTTGATGGATTATCTTTGTTAGAACAGAGACAGAAGAGAAACAAACCGAAACAAACCCAGCCATAATCACCATAATACAAAGTACTTTTATCAGCACCAATTTAATATAAAACAGTATTTTACCTCATTAAAGCTGGGGTACCCAACTTTCAAACCACAAAACATAGAACTATGAGTAATACAACACATATATAGCTCTCTAAACAGTCACCGTCACTAGTTTTCACATGTATTTTTGTATGTATTTAAGTCGCAGCTTTTTGATTGGATTTTTCAGTCAGAATAGCAAAAAAGAGAGAAGCCCCCTCACTCAGCCAATCAGCTCTCAGCCCAAAGAGTCCATTAATGACTAACTGGGATCAAAGTGGACAAAAGACAGCATGTTGTGGTTCTGATTTATCCACAACATGGCACTTTTATGCGCCAGTATTATTCACGAAACAAAACCTAAAAGGTAGGTACTCCAGCTTTAACTTTCTATAAGATGTTATTGTGGTAGTAATGTAAAATGGAGATTTCTCTCTCCAAAATAAGGAGATTTTTAATGATCCACAAGTCTTCTAAAAAGGATTCACTATGACACTCACACGTACACACTTACTCTCTCACACACACACGCGCAGGAATAGAGGAAGCTACATTTTTTAGCATCGCTGTAGAAAAAGTGTCCTGGATTCTGAAGCCTGTCTGTGTCTGCTTACAAATATTTGTACACTACAGGATATATGTCTCATAAAAAAAATAAAACAAACCTTTGCTATAGAACACAAATATGAATCGATAACTTCTGACCAGACTGTGCAACAAAGAACCGCCATTTTCATGAAACAGACCAGTTCTGGACGGAAAACCCATAATGCTTTCCTAATTATACATGTGTGGCTCTCTCAACTTCTCGATCTGCTTTGAAACGCTCTCACCCAGGCTCTTATTGACCGACAACACGGGGATCTGTGTAAATACGTGAACAAAATGTAAATACAAAGGCTATATTAAGTACACATGAGATACTACAGTATGTCTATGAATCCACTGATATTTCTATATTTCAGAATGGTATATGAGATCGCTGTTAGCTCATTCCTTTTGCTTTGGTTCCGCACTCGGCCCTTTAGATCCACTGTCGTTTTTCCCTCTTTACTTTCGTTCATGTGGAGCTCCCTCTTTGGAATAAACTCACACTTGCCTTTCCAACATTGAGTGTTTTGTTGAGTTCAGAACAGAAGCCTGGAGACGTCCAAACTCGGCACAACTAAGAGAGAAAGTAAAGGCTCAGGATACTAAGTAGTAAGTATGTTGTAACAGTTGTTTTTTTATTAATCATAAGGTGTTTTTGTAATAACCGATGTGTAATGAGGTAGACACTTTCTTGCTGATTTGTTCTTCATGGAACAAGGAAGCCCAGTGTTTTTCAGAGACTGGGAGTCTTCCTTTATCTCGCTAAAAAAGGAGGAAGACCAAGACCAGGACCAGGGCCATGTGAAAGACCTGAGACTTCTTCCATATATGGGGCCAAAGACGACACCTCCAGATTCTCCTCCCTTTTGCACATTTAAAATCACTGTTGAACTGAATTTGTGTGGGTAAGTCTGAGCAGAGACAACCTTTAAGTTCAAGCCTGGAGGGTCTGTTTTTGGCTCAGCTTTAGGGTTTTTTAGGGAAGTAGTAGCTCAATTTAGTATCAAGTATTAGTTTTTAATTGTAAAGGGAATTACCGGTAAAGTTATAACTCCTCATAAAACCTGTCCTTTATGAAAGCTGTAGGGCCCCTGTTAGATGAGGACGAGCCGTTTTAGTTCGCACTGAGAACTATAGGAAACTCTCCTTCAGCCAGTGTGGATTTAGGCTGCAGTACCGCGGATGGCCTGTAGTCTAAGTGGAGACGGGTTTAAGCAGCAACACTCTATCCAGATAATAAACATCTATGACAGAGACACTTTACATACTTTGCATTATCCGTTTCATTATCGTCAATAACAACAATTTTCCGGTCCTCTCTCTGTCTGGAATAATACGCTCTCGTTGCCATCATGTCCGTGTTCTTCTGCTTTAATTGCTGCATTGGGTGTTGCTTCTGTCTGAGAATTTTAATTGAAAAAGGAAATGAATAGAAGACGTGGGCGCAGCTGGTGACGGGTCCACGGTATGCAATTAGCAATTCTCTTTTGTCTTATGAGCATATGGAAACGTGTGACTCAATCAAACATGCTGTGTGTCTATATATATACTGCTATTCTTACTGATGCATTGCAATGTAACTCCATTTTAAACCCGATCACTGCAATGGTCTTCTCTATGGTCTCCCTGCCACTTATTTCCAAAAACTGCGATATACTGTATCCAGAAACACCTCCACTGGCCCCCCATCCTGTACTACAAACAATCCTCTTCATTACCTACAAGTCCCTTCATAACCTGGCCACCTGCTTCTGAACCCTGAGGACCAAGCCTTCTGAACCCTGAGGACCATGCCTTCTGAACCCTGAGGACCAAGCCTTCTGAACCCTGAGGACCAAGTCTTCTGAACCCTGAGGACCAAGCCTTCTGAACCCTGAGGACCAAGTCTTCTGAACCCTGAGGACCAAGCCTTCTGAACCCTGAGGACCAAGCCTTCTGAACCCTGAGGACCAAGCCTTCTGAACTCTGAGGACCAAGCCTTCTCAACCCTGAGGACCAAGTCTTCTGAGGACCAAGCCTTCTGAACCCTGAGGACCAAGCCTTCTGAACCCTGAGGACCAAGCCTTCTGAACCCTGAGGACCAAGCCTTCTGAACCCTGAGGACCAAGCCTTCTGAACCCTGAGGACCAAGCCTTCTGAACCCTGAGGACCAAGCCTTCTGAACCCTGAGGACCAAGCCTTCTGAACCCTGAGGACCAAGTCTTCTGAACCCTGAGGACCAAGCCTTCTGAACCCTGAGGACCAAGCCTTCTGAACCCTGAGGACCAAGCCTTCTGAACCCTGAGGACCAAGCCTTCTGAACCCTGAGGACCAAGCCTTCTGAACCCTGAGGACCATGCCTTCTGAACCCTGAGGACCAAGCCTTCTGAACCCTGAGGACCAAGCCTTCTGAACCCTGAGGACCAAGCCTTCTGAACCCTGAGGACCAAGCCTTCTGAACCCTGAGGACCATGCCTTCTGAACCCTGAGGACCAAGCCTTCTGAACCCTGAGGACCAAGCCTTCTGAACCCTGAGGACCATGCCCTGAGACCAAGTGGCAGATCTCCGTAAATGTTAATATCCATAAATGTCCTCAAATGTCCTGGATCATCATCACTGTCCTTAGACAAACAAACTTGCCTTGACTTTAAATTGACGTTTTTTCCCCCCTTTTACATTAAATTTCATACAGAGCCTCATGGATTTTGACTGAAATACATAAGGCGCTCCCGTCTCTCTGAAGCAGTGATGGAGAGATTCACCACAGGCCACTGACAGTCTCATTAATCTAACACATAGCTGTACCCTGAGGACGATCACATAGAAATATAAGTCTTGATGGCTTCTACTGGCTGTCAAATGGTGCTCATGTGGCTGTTATTATTCTTATTATATCACACAAAATGTTGAATTAGTCACCTGTAGGTCAATGCTCATAAATAACTAACTGTTCTGACTCACGAAGGATTCAGAAAGATGGGAAATTATTGCCTCCTAAAAGGTAAACATGTTAATAGTCCATTAATATACTACTGTGTTTGGAATGGAAAGAGGCTCAAATGAATGGACAGAATGTTGAGAAGCAAACATAGAAATTAAAGGTAGATTTATGGTGTATAAGTTATGCCTTACTGAGGAACATTTCACTTTTATGAGACAAGCAGGTGATGGATCAGACATTTCCTTTGATTAAATTTGCTTCTTTTTTTGACAGCGCTCTTATCAACACTGGACTCTTGAGAGCATTCAAATGCAGGCGATTCTGAAATAAAGTATTTTCACACTACTTTTATTGAAAAAAAACTGGTGAAAATAACTTGAAATACAGGAAAAAAAAACAGAACGTTGACAGGCTAATGCTAATCACCAAATTCGATTATAGCCTTTTTTGGTTGCTTGGTAACCAACTTTCTATGGCAGTTTAAGCCACTTTTTAAAAATGCTTTTCCGAAATAGATAGATACTTTATTGATCCCCATAGGAATTGGTCCTGGACATGCCCTGGACTGGTCCTGGATTGGACTGGTTCTGAGCAGAGTCAGCCAGAGAAGAGAACAATTTGTTGCTAGTTACCATAGCAACAGTTCGCATTTGGTCTGTAGCATTAGTCTTTCAACTGTGTTTTCTGTTTTATTAAACATTTATAGCACTTATCAAAAGTGAGTAATGTAAATAAAACAAAACATACACATGACTTACTTACACTAATCTTGTCTATTTAATCTGGTAACAGTTCTGAAGATCATGGTTGAGCGACAATGTATAAAATAATAATAATGCATCGGTTTTATATAGCGCTTTTTTGGACACTCAAAGACGCTTCACATGTGTCATTATTCATTCACTCCATACACGGTGGTGATAAACTACTACTGTAGCCACAGCTGCCCTGGGGCACACTGACAGAAGCGAGGCAACCAGTATGCGCCATCGGCCCCTCCGACCACCACCAACCATTCACCCACACACCAGACTCATTCTAGGCAATGGGGGTGAAGTGTCTTGCCTAAGGACACAACGGCAGTTTGGCACTTTACAGCCGCAGCCGCCCCACTGTGGCTGGTGTTCCCAGAGGTTAAGTGTCTTGCCAAGGACACAACGACAGTAGTCAGTGGGAGTCGATGGTGAAAGTCTTGAGCAGGGCTTGAACCCACGACCTTCTGGCTCAAAGGCCAACACTCTACCAACTGAGCTACTGCCGCCTAAAAGGTGATAAAGTTACGTCTCCAAAACAAAAAGCCGTCAAAGTAACTGCTCTGGGAGTTCTAGTGTTTTAACTGGGGTACTTGATTTTCTTGTGAATATAACTTGAAATACAGGGAAAAAAACAGTGCGTAGAAAGGCTAATGCTAATCACCAAATTTCATTAAAGCCTTTTTTGGTTGCTCGGTAACCAACTTTCTATGGCAGTTTTACGTACGCCACTTTTTAAAAGCGCTTGTTCTAGATAGATACATTATTGATCCCCATAGGGATTGGTTCTGGACTGGTCCTGGTCTGGTTCTGAGCAGAGTCAGCTTAGTTTTCCACCAGAGAAGAGAACAATTTGTTGCTAGTTACCATAGCAACAGGTAGCATTTGGTCTGTAGGATTAGTCTTTCAATTGTGTTTGCTTTTTTATTAAACGGTTATAGCATTTATCGAAAGTGAATAATGTAAATTAAATTACTGAGAGCTGATTGGCTGAATGAGGTTGGTTCACTCTTTCTAGATTTTGTTTCTATAAAAGCTTTTATCGCATAGTTTCATTGTTTATTGAGGTTTGAAAATAAAAAAGCACTGACGAATCAACGCTGCCTGGACTTGTAAGAAAACACTGCCATCTAGCGGTATTTTTGATGAACGTACTGGTGGGGACCGTTAATTCACCGTTTATTATGTTCAACACTGCAGTAATAACAGACATATGCAAAACTATAACACAACTTTATGTTCTACTTTTATCTGTAAAGTATTCTTACGATAATCTAGCCCTCCGCGGTGCTGTTCATAAACATAGTCATGATGACAGTAATTGTAATATATTTCTCATAATCCCACCTTTTGGACAATTCATTTACAATTTATACATTGACTATTTTTAGTTTAGTTTTGATCGCTGTTCATGGTTAAGTTATAACACATTTCCCACTTTTATTCAAGACTACCTGCTTCTTATACTATTTCCCTCGGTTTTGTCTGACAGCACTTCAAATAATATACCCAGACAATAATAAATACATTTACTCATGCATCTGAAGTGTGTTTGCTAGACATAGAAAAAACTATTGAAAAATAATGTTTTGAAATTTTATATATTTTGTTATTTTAGATTAACTAGTTAGCTATACCTGACAGACAAATCCTTGGAAAAAAATCTCTGGCGACAAGACTTCTCAAGATTTCTCGTGAACTTTCTTCTTGATGGCTAATTTAGCTCTTACCACATTAAACTAATATTTGATTGCAAAGAAGAAGCAAGTTTAGAGTTTTGAAATTACATTACCCTAAGCAACAGCTGGTGAGTTTGATATTTTGCCGTTATATACGTCGTAAATGTTACCGTTTTTGCCTAAACACCCGAGTTCACAGATTAGCAAAGTTAGCCTCGGTATCAACTGGTTTGTTTACATTTTGTGGAAGGACGTGGATTTGATTTTTGTTAAAAGATATGATAGTCGTAACATTGCGGATATGTAGCTACTAGACTGTAATTACATGCGTTGGGTGTGAGCCATGGAGACGCCCTGAGCATCTTTTGAGTTTTGTGGTTGTCAAGGCAACATACAACAAGGATCTGCCCGGAGCATGGACCAACACTGAAAAACTGCGAATAACGAGAAAAGAAAAAGCTCAAGGTAAGATTGAATACGAATTTAGCGTACATGTTTGTGTCTGTTTTGGTGGAGAAACTTGTGGACATTTTAACATCACAGTCTTCCCTACAGCGTAACAAGCCTGACTGGTTCTGACGTGTTTTGAAACAGCTTTGATTCAACATTCAACCCTGCCTTGTTTGGTGACTTGGAAATCTTAAAGCCAATGCACCCAACATTTTCAACATGATTGAATAATAGCTTCCTGTTTGTCCCCACAGAAAGAGTCTTGCAACAAAAGTGTTATAAATATTTATTCAGAATCAGAATATTTTTTATTGCCAAGTATCAGGAAGTCACGGATTAGGAAAGTGCTTTGGCTCTCGATGCAAACAGTCAAAAGTAGAGTGGTAGAGAATAGAGTAAGGCATAGTAAAAATCAGCATACAATTCTAAGGTATAAAAGTTGCATAATGTGTTTTTCAATGTATTTTATTTTATTTATTTACTCTACTCTAACAAACATATAGATTGTACCTGTTTTCAATAACAATAGTTGCATGTGTAGTATTATGCAGGATAGCAGATAGCAGTAATCATTGATATGGGATTCAAAATGTTTAGCCTTTTTCTCTGTTTTAATATAATTCAATTGTCAATAAAGTCAAGCAGAATTTGAAATCATTTTGTCCCATAGTATAGTATTATAGTATAGTATTTTTCAGCCGACGGAGCATTTAATATTTAACTCACAGCCCAAAGCTTTAACCATTAGTGTCGCAATAGATTCAAACTTTTTAGTAAAAGGTCCGAGCTTTAAATTGAGGCATGTCTATATTGGTTCACATTTGAAAGAGCAGAAGTTGGCTGAATGACCAGATTTATCACCTTCATACAATCAATAAGAAATGTCATTATATTGAAACAAAGCCAGCGACTGGCTTCCCAAGATCCTGAGCTTCACATTAAGCTGAAGTTGGCTGGATGACGCTGTGATCTTAAAGACTACTTTGTCTCAGAAAGGCAGAGGGCTACATAACATGACACACAGGGCCGCAAACGGTCCGCGAGCCTGAGTTTGGACATGCCTGGAATAGACACACATTCTACTGTATATAATGTTCATCACAAGTTTGAACCAGTCTCAACAAAATCCACATGAAATAAATCACACCTTCAAAACACTTCGGTGTGAGGGACTTTCCATGATGAGAACCCAGTGAACTTTTGCAGAAAACAACATCCTATTACAACATATTTTAAGGTATACTGTAGCTATTATACATCCATGGTATATAGGAGGATTTTCTACGTCCGGGTGGATCATCAAGACTATTGGTCCTCCCAGTTGTCAATCATTCTGGTGATACGTGCTCGTCAAATAAGACCAGAGAGTTTTGTTCAAAAAGTGGAGAGGACGGTTCTATCCTAAAATTTGTGAAAATCCTTATACCTATTTTTGAATTTTTTCTGATGTGTTTCTCCCTTGGCATCAATCAATCAATCAATCTTTATTTGTAGAGCGCCTTTCATACACAGGGCAACACAAAGCGACTAACAGGCCACATCAGCACATAAAACAAACACCAACATCACCACTAAAAACACAGTTATATAGAATAATCACACAGGTAAAAATATATTAAAACATTAAAATCACACGAGAGATTATAAAAATAGACAACCACAGTGCATTCAAACTAGAGATAAAATCCTTCAGTTGTATGCACTGGTGGTTTAAGGTGTTTTTGGATAAAGATATAAACATGGACTAATTCAACTGGATAAACATGCACATTATTAATACTGTTTATATTGTCCATCAGTCACCATTTCTTGGACAAATGCACACTTCTGATACATTTCCAATACAATAATTGAATATGAGTTTAAAGCTGGGGTACCTGGCTTTCCAAAGTGGGCTCCAGGACAGGTCAGCTGATATAGTCACATGACCAGTGTCCAGCTCTGAGGCAATTCTGACCCCCCTTGGAGGTATTAGTGCATTAATCTCCTTCTGTCCCCATGAGGCAGATAAACCCTGAGACCAGACCAGGCTGAGACTAGACCGAGACTACCCAGTGCTACTACAGGTGAGTCCCGCTTTAGGCCTGAAGAATATCAAAGCTTAATGACTTTCAATACTAAAAAACTTTCAGTTTTTAGTATTGAAATAACGTTAATTACCCCAAAATATTAGACAAAAATGAAATAGAGAAGACTCAAAAAGAACACCACCTCCATTTGTGGCCACCTGCCTTTGAAAGCCCGATCCTGTCAGACTTCAGAGGCTAAGCAGGTCATGGTCTGGTTAGTACCGTGATGGGAGACCTCTGGGAACAGCAGGTGCCACAGTGGGGAGACTGTGGCTGTAGTGCTGAATTATTGTTGTGTCCTTAGGCAAGACACTTCACCCCCATTGCCTAGAATAAGTCTGGTGTGTGTGTGAATGGTTGGTGGTGGTCGGAGGGGCTGATGGCACGCACTGATTGCCTCTCTTCTGTCAGTGTGCCCCAGGGTAGCTGTGACTTCAATAGTACCACTGTGTATGGGGTGAAAGAATAATGACATGTGATGCATCTGTGCGTGTCCAAAAATGCAAAAAGATATAGGTTTACATCAGGGTGGGCTTACATCAGGGTGGGCTTGCATCTGGGTGGGCTTACATCAGGGTGGGCTTACATCAGTTGGTTTTTATACAGTCAGTGAATGTAATATCTAATCTATCTCATTAATAAAATCAACAATCAACCAAAAAAGTCTAACGCATTAAACACAACTCAACAAAAATGCAATAATAACAATAACAAATATTGTTATGATCAATGAGTTATAAGAAAAATTACAACTATTCAAAAATAGTTTGAAATAAAATCAAACTAACATTTCTGGAAAACTCTGACGCCTGAAGGGTTAACCGCGTGTGGCAGATACAGGGAGTCTGAGCGGATGAATCAGTGCGTAGTGAGAGAGCGGTGTGTGTTTTTATGAGCAGACGACAGAGTGCTGAGTCTGAGGGTGCTGTAATCTGATTGAGGTAATCTGAGTGAGGAAGTTGCATACCCTGAGAGTGTGTGGTATTGTGTGTGTGTGTGTGTGTGTGTGTGTGTGTGTGTGTGTGTGTGTGTGTGTGTGTGTGTGTGTGTGTGTGTGTGTGTGTGTGTGTGTGTGTGTGTGTGTGTGTGTGTGTGTGTGTGTGTGTGTAGGAACAGTCACTGTGTCAATCTGTGTGCTGTGTTTGCTGCAGTTCATGTTGTTGTCCCGTTGCTATGACGACGGCAGCTCCCGGTGAGAGACCTCCAGGGCCCCCTGTGTGTGTGTGTCTGTCTGTGTATGTGTGCATGTGTGAGTGAGTGTGTGAATGCAGGTGGGTCTGTGTGTGTGTGTGCGTGCATGTGTGAGTGTGTGAATGCATGTATGTCTGTGTGTTTGTGTGTGTGCATGTGTGAGTGTATGAATGCATGTGTGGTCTTCACTTCTTTGATAACGCTGAAAAAGTCAGTGTTTTTCAGTCAGTGTCTTGGATCAAAGTCTGTAAATCCCTCTTTTCGTTGACTTTATGCCACACATGAAACACCATTTCATTACTTCTCTTTCAGTTAAAGGTGTTGTTTCAGAGTGTGGTTCTTATGACAGGTCCCCGTGTGTGACTCGGCTTCAGAATGTGAACGTCATGAGCCGTGAGAGTCCAGCTGTGACCGGTGACTGTGGAGTGATGTCACACTGCTCTGTGCCCGACTGACCCGAGAGCAGAGAGGTGCGGGGAATAAAACACAGTAGTACCTTTGAAGACTTTGAGTGTATTCGCTGTGAGAGCTAAAAAATACTGATAACTTCTAAAGATGCCTGCACTGTTGTGATTAGTTTAAAAGGATGAACATTGATGATGAAAATGAAAAAAGTACTTGCCATTCCTTACAATTCTTAGATCCAGGAGGTTATCCTTTGACTGCAAGTTGTAATCATTGTCCCAATTCTGAAAATATTGTAGACACATTTTTTCGTCTTGCTAAGTGACAACTAGAGTAACAAAGTAACAACCAATGTAATCACCATTACCCTCTTTGTGGTGGAAATCAGGGAAGGGACGAGACACACCATAATCTAATTTAATTAATTAGCTAGATTTTTGGGACTACAGCTTTCCTAATGTTCCCAAGCCAAAGATAAGAGGTCATATATTCTTCCTGTGTGCTCAATACTAAAGCAATACAATTTTGAGAGATCTTAACCCAGTGGCTCGGTTGCTAGAAGCACGTTTTAAAACAGTATTAATGGAGCAGAATATTGTCTAAATATTATTCTTAAAATAATCGCTAAATGTGAATTTTTTTTGTATTATTCCCAGAACAGTGAGATGCAGAAGCACAGGCGGCCTGGGCTGATGGTGTGGACCCAGGCCCCGCCCAGCTGCCCCCTCAGCAGCTCTTCTGAGGGGGAGGATGATGGGGAGGAGGCTGGGGAGGAGGCTGGAGACGTGCACGCCGGCCTGGAGCTCGCTCTGGGGCAGATTGGCCTCAGCGATGACGAGATAAGACTCGGTACGTTCTCTGGAGACGCCTTCAGAGACCATTACTGCTGCAGTCCACCTGCAGAGGGCGGCGGTGAGCAAGGTTTCCTTTTACAGTGGTTCAAAGAAGACCATAACAAAGTAACAGAGAACTTTGAAGTGAAAGCCGATTGATACATGATTTGTTTTTGATTTTTAGATACAAAAGAAAAGTATTCACACAACATGGGTTAATACTTTGCAACAGGGGAAGACCGTTTCTGTTTATTTTGTAATGAAACAAAAAAAACTAAGCCATTTGTCATTCTTCCCTCACTTTACAGTTGTTTTTTTACTTTATTGTGGTCTTAAAAAAAGAGTTTAGATAGTTTTGATATGTTTTAGCTGTAGCTTCTAATGATCTGTCTGATGTCTGTTGTCACTTCCAGCTGAAGGAGGCTCAGATCCTGGTTTCAGTCCACTGAAGCTCGACTGTGATCTGGACGCCTCAGAGGAGGAAGAGCACTGTCCCACTCCCTCAGAGGAGGAAGAGCACTGTCCCACTCCCTCAGAGGAGGAAGAGCCCTGTCCCACTCCCTCAGAGGAGGAAGAGCACTGTCCCACTCCCTCAGAGGAGGAAGAGCCCTGTCCCACTCCCTCAGAGGAGGAAGAGCCCTGTCCCACTCCCTCAGAGGAGGAAGAGAACTGTCCCACTCCCACTAAGTGTTTGAACAAAGACATACGTCACATCCAAGTCCCCGAAGGAGTGTCCCCAGTACTCTGTGTTACCACCCCCACCCGAGCCCCCAGCCTGCCCCTCCTCATCAGCCCAGAGGAACTCGCCCACTGCCCGTTTATCACAGACGAAACCCTCCCCGAGATCCACCTCTACTCTGGTTCCTCCGACTCCAGCCCACCTCGACCCACAGAGACACGCCGTGAGACCGTGGCCGGCGCTGTCAGCAAGATCCCCGTGAAGGTGTGCGTAACCCCAGAGAGGCAGAGCTTTGCAGAGGCCACGCGGTTAAGCACCAAAGCCAGGCCACAATCGTCCAAATCCAGCTGTCGGAGCAAAGCGAGTCCAAAGAGCGAGGGGAGACGAGACACGGCTCCGCTCTTCAGGTAGGAAGAGAGGCTTCAGTAATCATAACTAACCTCCTGTTCTCTATGAAGCTTGGGTCAGTGTGTACATGTATTTTATTTAGCATTTATGCAATCTCTTTTTAGAGTTTTTCCTTCCCCATGGAAGATTTATGGACTTTAGATAGATAGATAGATAGATAGATACTTTATTGATCCCTGTGAGAGAAATTCAGTTGTCTTTATAAACATTTATGGACATTGGTCATCTGCCCCTTATGGACCAACGTGTTTTTTATCGTTGCATTTCTTGTGTTTGAACTGTCTCGGATCTGTGTTTGTGAATCAACGGTTTTGTATAGTCCTGACATAACTACTGTTGTGGTTTAGGGTTATACAAAAATGAATTAAATTCAATTGAATAGAGTGTTTCTACAAAGCTTTAAGATTGGTCAATGAGTGTCCACCGACTCCCCCATATACCGTTTAGGGGGCAAAGGTATTTTTGTGGTAGTAGTTTTTGAATCTGATAAGCAGATGACCCACAATACATTTTGAAAATAGTCAATATTAGGAGTGGAAATCACTGGGTCCCTTACGATATGATGCAATTTGAGAGGCAGGGTTCACCATACTGGGATTATCACGATATGGGGAAAACAGTCATCTGTATTTTTGCAAATTTCCCAGTGGAGACAATAGTTTGTAGTAGTTATTGTTATGTATTTATCCTGGTCTTGGAATGAACCACAGTCTTGTTATTGTTCAGCTCTGGAGTTCCATGTGCGCGCCGACTGGACCTGTCCAAAGTGGAGCCCAGGGTTCGCTTCCCCAAAGACGGCTACAGTCCCCCTAAGAGCTGCCACAGCCTGAGGGAGGGCCCCGTGTCCCCGCAGCCTCGTCTGGTCCATATGTCTCCGGCTGACATCCTCACGGAGGTCCTGTTCAGCTCCGAGGCTCCGGACCCCGATGACGAGCTGATCCAGGCCGCGCTCCACATGCTGCCCCCAGAGTTCAGGAGCAAAGAGCAGGCCATCAGTCTGATGAACGAGCTGCAGGTACAGGAAACACACACGGTTAGTTTTATCTATTGTCGTCTTACACAGTGGGAACATACAGTGGGACAAAAAGTTTGTAGTCAGCCGCCAATTGTGGAAGTTCTCCCCTTTGAAAAGATGAGAGATGACTGTAAGTTTCATCAGAGGTCCTCAAAAGATCCATAAAATCACAGGATTTTTACCCACTGTTGCTGGTATTTTGGCCTATTCTTCCATGCAGATCTCTTCTGGAGCACTTTCAACTCCCTCTATTGATTTTTTTTGGGGTTGAGATCTGGAGACTGGCAAGGCCACTCTTTTGTTGTTCGAGGGACGTGTCTTTGGGATCATTGTTCGGCTAAAAGACCGTTTCATCTTCTATTCCCTTGCTGATGGAAGGAGGTTTTCACCCAAAATATCTAGATTTCAGACTTGTTAACTATTAGATCGGTAAAATGCATGTGATTCACTGTTTGGAAACATTGTGATGGTGGCTAGCATTCGAACTCGGACAAATTTGGTAAAATGGGTTTCCTTTCACATAATCTCTATTGATCTCAGGGACAATCGTTCATGTGTACAGTATACCTACATCTTTACACTGGATGTAATCAAATATAACATCTGAAATACACATTCCATTATCTTCTGAGTCAAAAACACTTGCAGGGCATGACAGATGTCTTCTGAAGTTATCTAAATGAAACGCCTCTGATCCTGTCCTTTATTATTTCCTGTGTGTGTGAATCTCTGCAGGAGGACAACTACAGGCTGAAGCTGCAGTGTGCTGAGCGGGCAAACATCATCGAGCGGCTGCGTCTGGAGGCAAAGGTACAGCGCAGCTCATTTCTCATCGTTAACTATCGCTTTGGGTTTTGGCCGAAGAACAGAGGGAATGAGGCGAGCTGTCTTCTCACATAACACTTTAGAGACATCCTGCTCAACTGTGTGCAGTCTGAAGGCTTTGAGCATGATGGATTATTACTGTTTCCCCTATTTCATTCTTATCTGAGCTTGATGCTGACCATGACTGATTACTTCCACACTTTTCTAAACAAAAACTTAGAAAAAACAAATAATAATACAGTTCTACTCTGCAAGATTTACATGGCACCATCTAGAGCAGGCATGTCAAAGTAAAATACATCAGAGGGCCAAAAAAAAAATGTTTGCTACGAGCCGAGGGCCGGACTGGTTCAATGTTTCTCAACATTCAGAGGCATTGCCGGTGACACCTGTTGGCTCGATAAAATATGCTCTAAAGCCAATCTTCATACTGTACATATTAGATGACATCTGAGAACATGAAAATAGTAAAAAAAACAAAGCTCAAACTTGGTGAAATATAAAAGAGCAGTCTGGACCTCTTTTCAGGGCGTTTTTTGATTAAATCTGCAGAATGGATTATACTTTGGGAAATACAAGTGGATATTCTTCTTCAATGAACAGTTACGGAGAGAAAGAGACTAAGCAAGGATGGGGAAAGTCTAATTTGTTGGAGCAGCAGAAGACGAAAGGTAAAAAACGAATACAGACGTGATTTATTTTGTGACCATATTATGCGTTATATCTTTTTAATGCAAAGTCTGATATCGTTTACACTTACATATAAATATAGCTGAGAAAATAAGCTTTAAAATGATATATAGCTTGTGGCTTATGAAGTTCAAAATACTGTACATCTGCTATTGCCAGCAGATATATTTTTTTCCTCGTTTGCTCCCGCCGGCGGGGGCTAGCGAGCTTAAGGGGTCAATACATTGCCTCAATGGCAGGCAATGTCCCGGGGGCCATAGATAATTGATTCGCGGGCCGGATTTGGCCCGCGGGCCTTGACTTTGACACATGTGATCTAGAGTGTATATAGTATGACTGGAGAAATTCACACACAAAAAAATTATCAGGCAATCCTGTTGACTTGAAAGCGGATGAAAAGTTAAGGATTTGTCATTGCGTATGAAATTGAAATTATAGCCGCAAGTGGCATCGAATGGCCCTCATCAACCCTCATCAAACGTTTCATGGAGGAACTGATATTGTAGTAGGTGCACTGTATTTCTCCATAACATGGGAAGTTCACACATCGCTTTGTAAACGACAACAATTTGCGAGGCCGCCACATTTACGCTGTTTAACTGATCAAAATTCTGCCCCTAACTTTTGTTGCTACACTCCCCTGTCTGTGGCACGGACCAGACAGAGAGCTTTTACAATATTCCTGTTAGTGTTTGTCATTGTTACGGCAACACGGTGAAAAATAAGTCATTGGTCTCTTTTTGACCTGTCTTTGTGTTCGTTACCAGGTGAACTTGTACTCGGACCCTCCTAAACCCGGGCTCCCTCTGCACTCTGGGCTCCACGCGCAGGCCTCCAGACCCATGACCCTGGAGATCCCTCACCCGCAGAGGGCACACCTCAGCCCTGCATCCCCCCCTCAGACCGGAGCACAACACCCGCTGCATGGTGCGTACAAGACCACATACTGAAGGCAATAGGTTTCCTTCACTTCTACAATTATATTTAATAATTTAGCAGTGGTCAGCAGGGTTCTATCGTGTTAGGAGTGGACGGGCCGAGTGTGACATCACCAGAGCGTCAGTCTTAATTCAGAGGCCGATTTGAACATAAGCTAACTGGAGCCAATTTCCTTTTACGGGCATTTCTTCCACAACGTTAGCTTCGTGGCGGAACTGTGATTGATGTGTTGCTAAGACGGTTGCTAAGGCAAGCTGGAGTTTTCTTGTGGTTTGAAAGTGAGGTCCCCCAGCTTTAAGTAAACAAATAAAATAAGTCTTATTTATGCCTGTTTTAGTAACACTTTGTTTCTGTTCCTGCTGTTCAGACATCATCAACAAACTTTGCACACAAGCTCAGGGGTTTCTATGCAATGTAAGTGAATGCACACACACATACATGCACATACATACACACACGCACACACACACACACACACACACGCACACTACCTCTCTTGACTGGATCTTAACTGGATCTGAACTGGATCTTTCCCGTGCAGGTGGAGGGCTTTGAGCAGAGCCGATTGAGTGCACAGCCACCAGAACAGCAGGTGGAGGTAAATAATGTTTGAAATGTTTTTTTCCTACCACTAATCATCATGGAAAGTTGTGTGCAACACTAAAACTAGACTTTCTCTCTCATTTAGTATTTTCATATAATGTGAATACTTTTGTTACATTTGCTTTGTCACTTTCATAGTTGAGTCACTAGCTTTTCTAGTTTAAAAGGGTTACTGAGCTGAAGGAATTTACTTTTCAATGTACTGTAAGTCAATAGCTGCCAGAGCGAGAAGGAGCAAAACTTTGTCTATGAGCGCTTTCCTATTGGGCATATTAGCCTCCCTTCTGATTGGCTCTTTAGTTGCTACTACAGAATAACACTCTGCACCTCTGCCTATTGACCTGGTTTGACTTCCCTCTAATCTGCCGATGCTTTGGACACATAATATTTGCTCAAATTCTCTTTAACAATCAATTAGACACGTTTTACTTGCTTTATACATAAACTGGTGAGACATGTTTTAGTTTTTTCTTAATTGTGTGACCCTAATGAAGTTTTTGTTGTTGTTTATAAGTATTCAAGGTAAATAATTATATATGATTGTGTTTTATTTTTCCCCAGCAGGTTTTTGATGACTTTCTTCAAAAGCTGGACACACTAGAAAATGAGTACATGTCGGCAAAGAAGGAACACATGCGACAACAGAGGCTGGGCGCTCCTGCAGAAAGCTTTGACCCTCAGAGGTAGGAATATATTTATTTTTAAAGACACACTGATTATTGAATAAGGAAATGTAATTGTTGATACATATGTTTTGTCAGGGAGCTGGAGAATCTGATCTTCCAGTGTGGTCTACATATGGACAAGTTGAAGGAGCAGATTCAACAGAGACGATCGCAAACGGAGGCCCTCCACCAGCCCATCCCTGCTGCCAAGGAGCTCCCTCTGAACAGTAAGGCAAAACATAAAGGACTAGTGAAGCACTTACAAAGCACTGACCTCCGACTAGAGGCTCAGTTCTATTTATATCAAAAAGAAATCCACACAGTGATTAGGATTTAATCTGTTTTTCAATGAGAAAATCAATTTTACTAACTGATGAAAGAATCTCCCAAAACCACTCACCAGAATGATTGACAATAAGGAGGACCAATAGTCTACATGATCCACCCAGAAGAAGAAAATTCTCCTTTATATCTTTAAGACACTAAAGTTAATTAATTATAATTTATTACTTAAAGCTTAAAGCTTAAACTGTTGTCTCATGTTATAGGTGTTTCTCCATCCGACTGGTCGGCGTCAGTGAGACATGACTCAAGTTTTACAGACGGTCTTTACCAGAAAGAACAAGCTCAGGAGTCACAGCAGAGAGTGAGTGAGTGTGTGTGTGTGTGTGTGTGTGTGTGTGTGTGTCTGTGTGTCTGTGTGTCTGTGTGTCTGTGTGTCTGTGTGTCTGTGTGTGTGTGTGTGTGTGTCTGTCTGTCTGTCTGTCTGTCTGTCTGTCATTGGGCGGCACGGTGGCTGAGTGGATAGCACTCTCGCCTCTCAGCAAAAAGGTCCTGGGTTCGAATCCCAGGGCCTTTGGAACATGTGGAGTTTGCATGTTCTCCCCGTGTCTGCGTAGGTTTCCTCCGGGTACTCCGGTTTCCCCTACCACTAAAAATATGTACAATAGGTCTGGCATGCGCCTCCTGTACTGGCGACCCCGCTCCCATCTCTGTGTGGAGTGAGAGACTAATGCCCAAAAATTAACAATTGTAAACCGCTTTGAGACTCAGATTTGCAGTGAAAAGGCGGTATATAAATAAGATTACTACTACTACTTACTACTCATATAGGGTGGGGGCAGCATTATGCTATGGGCCTGCTTTTCTTCAGGAGGGACAAGGAATATAGTGAAAATTTCAACAAAACTAATAATCCCGTATAAATAAATAATTAATGCATTAACGCATGTGCCGAATGACCCGCCCATGCATCCCATAATAACACTCAGAAGTGACGCGGACACATGCGTGTGAGATTGCGACAAAGCAGGTAGGCATTAGTTAGCATTAGCACAACTTCTTATAAGCTGTACAACAATCACTGATTAAATGATACCAAAGAAACGCACTGCTAACAAAATATACAGTTCAACAACTGGAACATTACCGCCAGTTTTGCGTCCAAAGTTAGTCCGAGGCGGTCCCGCTCCCGCAGGTCTCCAGAGGATAAGATCTAAGCTAGCTTTATTCACCCGGGCTTGATTTCTTCTTTTATCCTTTTTTCGCTTTAGTTCCCTCTTCTCCTCCTCATTTTTTTGTTTTTTTTTTGGCTGTTTTACTGCTGTGTATAGCCACCTTCTCCTGCCATATGCGCTGCTAGAGGGGCGTGGCCGAGGAGAACCAGTGTCTCGCAAAGTTTCTATCCAGCACTTTTTACGGGCTGAATTCATAACATAGACTGTGAATATTCATACACAAGCTGAAAGAATGCGCTCAATTTTTCAATTAAAGGTTTCAATAAAAGGGTTTTACTACTTTTAATACAACTTATAAAAAAATACTGTCTACTACAGAAAGACAGAATGTTAATAATCCTAACGCCGTTTTATGTGGATTTATTGTTAATTAATAAACAAATACAGTACATATGCACACTATGTTATCATGTATTTTTCTATTTAAACAAATATTTACAGAAAAGTATGGCATCATTTTGCCGTTAGTTCCAAATGTGATTAATTACGATTAATACATCTTTAAGCTGTAATTAACTCGGTTAAAACATTTAATTGTTTGAAAACCCTAATAAGTTTGCTATCACTTCTCACTTGGCAGGAGTGGCAGTAGCCCTGGTGTGTGCTATCTTCTCTGTCTGGTGCACACTGAGGTAGTAGTCTTGCACAGTTTTTCCAATGGGGTTGAACTGCAAATGACAAATACATTCTTGAATCTTGGGTCTTGAATTATCTGCCACTTTGTTTTTGTCTTTCAATTTAAATATCAAAGAAATGTCTTCATATTTCTGGTCATATCGAGACTTACTTTTTGCAAGGCTCTATAGATGTTTGTGTGCTTTGTGAGTCACTATTTGACGCTTTGGGTTGAGATTTGATTGACTGCCTGACCTCTTTTTTTCTTTTCTGTCTGAAAAAGCTGAGCTATAGAAGTGACAGAGGCCAGAATAGATCTCGCTAAACATTTTGCTATTGGCTATAAGTTTGAATCTGGACTTTTTTAAGTTACCTTAGATAAATCAAAGACATCTGACCGGGAAAGCAGAGTTATGTGTTTTGACAACAAAAACAAACAGATTTTTGATTTGTTTTGCCCTTGACTATGGTGGACCCCTGCTAGCCCTTTGGACCAGGTGACCATGTGCATAATATAAAACATTTTTAAACATTATCTTCTAATTACAATGCATTTATTAGTCAGTTAATGAGTATGCCATCGCTAAAACAACCTCTCACAAATAATGTTGTTGTTCTTTTGAAGGCTGAGTTAGAACGGTCCTCTCCTTTTCACTTGTCTGTTTGTTAGGACGGATCTAAAGAGCTCCAAACTGTCGAGATGGAAACCTATTCTAAAAGCAGTGTTGGACCTGTGTTCTGTGGCAGGTCTCAGTCTCTCCGAGGTTTCTTGAGATTTGACAGAGTTCTGCTCCTGACGCTTGTGCACGTTTGTTTTTTCATGTGTCTCTCGTGCCACTGGATGTTCTCTCTTCTTATCCGTTCTTGTGCCTGTGTTTGCCATCCCTCATTGTCTGGCTCACTGTGAAACTCAGAAGTAGCCTGATTAGTCTCTCCAGCTGCAACCTCTTGTACCAACATCTCTGGAGGAATGTCCTGAATCCTCTCCATCGGTGCAGAAGCTGGAATCTTGTTTCAATGAGGCCGTGTTGAGGACGTTACTCCAGGCTTCGGGCTTCACTGAAACTGAAGTGAAAGCTGCTTCCTCCTTCTATTAATACTTTCCTTTTATCTGGTCCAACCCGTTCTTATAACCAGGATAAACTCTTGTGGAGCTTTACTTTCAGAATGTTTGGTCCTACTGCTGTTCTGTGGTGACACATTCTTTCGTTGACAGGGATGCCAGTCGATACTGTTTTTATCTCCCATCATCCCTGTTGTACTGTCATACAACAATAAGCATTTAAAATGTCGGATTAGATGTTGTATATTGCACTGCATTTCCATATGAATGTGCATTTTTTCTGCTTTCAGAAAAGTGTAACAGTTATGCACATACATCCCAATCCACCTGAAGAGAGTGAATCCAAATTTATGTGAATAAAGGCTCTAAATACTTGGCATTTCAACTTCCCGTTACATTAGTGAGACTTCAAATGTGCATTCATTTGTGATGGAAATGCAGTTACTCTGTCATTGGGCCTTAATGGTGTCGAATTTGATTTGGTATTTTTGCAATCTGTCCTACTGTTGCCATGACTGGGGTTGCCATGCCATGGGGTTTTGATTTTTCAGGGGATTTCTTTGATGTCTGATGAACACCTTGTTCATCAGAGACCAGAGAAATCGGAAGGAACTGAAGTCTTATAATTAACATATATGACTTGGTTTCTTTCCATTTTGCTTGTTTTTGGTCCTCAGACCTGGCCACTCCTCACTGTCAAGATTGAAACCTATGGTAAAATCAGTGTTGGACCTGTGTCCTGTGGCAGGTCTCGGCCTCTCAGAGGTTTCCTGAAGCTTTGTTTTTCCATGTGTCACTCGTGCCACTGACTGTTCTCTCCTCCTCATAGGTGCAGGTGCTGGGATTGACACAGGCGTATCTTGTTTTTGAGGAAATGTTTCAATGAGGATGTTACTCCAGGCTTTTGGCTTTACTGAAGTGAAAGCCAATGCCTCCTTCTGTCCAAACCTCCCTTTTATATGGTCCCAAACCATCCTTTTAGCCGGGATAAACTCTTGTGGAGCTTTACTTGGAGAATGTTGGGTTTTATTGCTCTGTTCTCTGGCAACATGTGTCTGAGAAGTCTGAGGTTTGACAGAGTTCTCTTCATGTGACCTGTGTGTATTTACTTTTCCCTGTGTCACTTCTGCCTCTGGCTTTTGTGGCCTCTTTTTGTTCCTTCTTTTTGTCTGTTTTTGCCATCCATTGTCTGGTTTAGACCGAAGCTCAGATGTAGCCCTGGTGTCATACATCTGTCCTGTGGCAGGTGTAGGAACTGGGATGGACCCAGCTGCAGCCTCTTGCACCAACATCTCTGGAAGAATGCCCCAAATACTCTCCATAGGTGCAGAAGCTGGGATTGACACGGCCGTATCTTCTTTCTGAGGAAGTGTTTCAATAGAGATGTTCGTCCAAGCCTTGGGCTTTACTGAAGTGAAAGCCACTGCCTCCTTCCGTTCAAACTTCCCTTTTATATGGTCCCAAAGCATCCCTCTAGCCGGGATAAACTCTTGTGGAGCTTTATTTGGAGCATTCTGGGTTTTACTGCTCTGAGGTTTGACAGAGTTCTCTTCATGTGACCACTGTGTATTTACTTTTCCCTGTGTCACTTCTGCCTCTGGCTTTTGTTGCCTCTTCTTGTTCCTACTTTTTGTATGTTTTTGCCATTCATTGTCTGGTTCAGACTGAAGCTCAGATGTAGCCTGAGTGTCGTGCATCTGTCCTGTGGCAGTTGTAGGAACTGGGTTGGACACAGGTGTATCTGGTTTTTGAGGAAATGTTTCAATTGGGATGTTACTCCAGGCTTTTGGCTTTACTGAAGGGAAAGCCGCTGCCTCCTTCTGTCCAAACCTCCCTTTTATATGGTCCCAAACCATCGTTTTAGCCGGGATAAACTCTTGTGGAGCTTTACTTGGAGAATGTTGGGTTTTACTGCTCTGTTCTCTGGCAACATGTGTCTGAGAAGTCTGAGGTTTGACAGAGTTCTCTTCATGGGACCTGTGTGTATTTACTTTTCCCTGTGTCACTTCTGCCTCTGGCTTTTGTGGCCTCTTTTTTTTCCTTCTTCTTGTATGTTTTTGTTGTCCCTCATGCTCTGGTTGAGCCTGATGCTCAAACATCTCGTCTCTCACTGCCCCAACATTGGCTGGTTCGGTGGTCTTTGGCTCAAACTTGACCAAATCCAAGACCCTCAGAGGAGCTGGGAGGACCTCAGAGGAGGAGGCCATGTTGGAATACTCTATTGCAGCCTGCGGAGACACAGGTGCTTGTCCATCCTCTATCTCATTCTGATTGCCTTTCATGTGTATCAGGGTTAGGGTTATGCTGCTTCTGTAAGCGCTGCAGGAGATGTGTGCGTTTCGGACCGCTGCATTGTGGTCCTCCCATCTACTGGTCAGCACGCGCCATTCCACTGGCTTTTCTGGGACTTCAGACCAGTGGCCATCCCCTGTCCTTGTGAAGTTGCTTAAAGACATTCTTACAAAGTGTGTTACCGTGTATTTAGAGTCAGATAACCTGAGTTAAATGTCCTATGCCAAAGCTATAGATTGTAACAGTGGCCGTCTCACACACACACATGTTTTCTGCAGAAACAGAACATGACATCATCGATGATGACATATGTGGTTGTTATGGCAACATCAAAGATAGAATGGAACAGGTGATTAGAATGTTATCGCCATAGTAACCACACATGTTCTGTCAAGAGTTGAGTTTGAGCGCCTTCTCCTTTTCTCTTTTCTGTTTGAAAAAGCTGATCTAAAGATGTGACTGAGGCCAAAGGAGACTTTGCTTTATGTTTTGTTATTTGCATGATTATGTTCTGGACTTGTTTAAGTTACTTGGACAAATCCATGACATCTGACAGGGAAAACAGAGTTTTGTGTTTGACAAAATAAAATGTTTTGTTGCCGCCATGTATCCTCCCGAAGCCCAACTAAACTCACTAAAGTAAAGCTGGGGTACATAATTTTTCCCTTGCAATACTAGTTCTTGTTGGTTCTGCCCAAAAGTTAAATGATGTGAGCCAATCAAACCAATTTAATGACATTATGCATTTCAGACTTTGTTTTAAATGTGCCATTCTCATCCCTGTAACAAACAGGTTTGTAGAGGCACAATAATGAATAGCATCCAAAGCCTTTATGAGACAGAGAAAAAGAAAAAAAAAGGAGGCTTTAGCTGAAACGGAATATGGTGCGCTGAAAAAATACTGTTTACTACAGAAAGACAGAATGTTAATAATTTTAATGCCGTTTTATGTGGATTTATTGTTATAATAAACAAATACAGTACATATGCACACTATGTTATCATTTATTTTTCCATTTAAACAACCATTTACAGAAAAATATGGCATAATTTTACTGATAGTTTGAAATGCGATTAATTAAAATGACTTATTTTTTAAGCTGTAATTAACTCATTAAAAATGTTAATCATTTAACAGCCCTACTAAAAAATGTACGTGTTTTCAGTGCTCTGCTGCATCTGCTTCACCGTCCACAAATGTGACTCATTCAGCCGCAGAGAAGAAAAACCTTCTAACCACGTCATCTCAATGTGGACACGACCTGCCAGACTACGACGAGCTGTGAGTGAGCTCTCCAGGCACAACAGAGAATATGAAAAAGAATCATTAACACCCAATTTATAGCTATAACTCGTATTATACAGTGGGTCGCAAAAGTGCCATTCCAACATGAACTTTTGCACATTTTGTCATGTTTATGGCCACAAACATCAAGATTTCTTTTTAGATTTTTTTTGGAACAGAACGAGAATATGGACAGGGCATATGTATTAAATAAGAAGTAAAGTCAGAGATACCTTGGATTCAGCCCGGTTGTCCCTGAGTGCAACCAATTGTCTTTAGAAGTTGCCTGATAAGTTTTGATTGGTCAAATTTCAACCAAACTATCAAGTAGAGGGATTATAGCTGTTCAGTGAGATTTGATAGAATATCCGTCACAAAACAGCATCATGAAGTCCAAGAAGCCCCCCAGAGAGGTCAGGGATGAAGTTGTGGAGTTTAAAACATGGTTAGGTAACGGATTAAACAAAGATTTCTCATACTTTGACCATTTCACAGAGCACTGTTCAATCCCAGGAATAGAAAGAGTATGGCGCAAAGATGGAAGTTGTATGGGCACTTTTGCAACCTTCTGCATCTCACCTATTCTGAAACACAGTCGTTGACAACGTCGCCTCTTCCTCTTCCCTCAGGTTTGAGAGCCACAGAGTCCTGCACATGCCTTTAGTGCGAGAGCTCAGCCTCCAGCGATCCCCCACCCCCGCCGCTCCAGTGAGGGATCACGCAGAGGCCCGGAGACTGTCCATGGCCTACCCTCAAGCCCCGTGTGCCTGCAGGTCTGTTCACACAAAAAGGAAAGTCTGAGGAAAAGCATGGAGTTTGTTTATGATGCATAAGAATCCAGAGTAAAAGATGTCTAGTCAGCCTTATTATCCAGTCAGTCTGACAGTCTGAGGTTTCCAGCTTTTGCCTCACGTAAAGAAACCAAATAAAAAGATTAAACAATGAAAGGGACAAGAGGCATTCCACTTCATCACATTTAGCAAAACGGGTCTACTCTATAAGTCCAAATACATACATCTATAATGAGCATGGTTTTTCCTTTCCTGCTCTTAAATGCATCAGCCAGCCTTGTCTCGGTAGTATTGGGTTTACATGTTATGTACGTGCTATACGAACCAACTCGGACTCTGAGGAGCACAGGGCCTCCTGCTGGTGCCCAGAGTCAGGAGCAAACATGGGGAGGCAGCGTTTGAGATTTATGCAGCTAAAATCTGGAACGGTCTTCCTGAAAATGTGGGACAGGCTTTTACTCTGTCATTGTTCAAATCCATGTTTAAACATTGGTGTTCAGCTGTGCATACAACTTTTCTTTTTTTCTTTGATGACAGGGAAGAAGGCCACTTTACTCCTCCATCCAGTCCTCCTCTGGATCTCCCCGTCTGCCGTCTCAGCTCCAGCACATCAGCATCAGGGCGCTCCTGTGACCCGCGCACCCTGAGCTGTGGTCCCAGCAGAGGGGGCTCCGTGGTGTTACAGTCCCCCTGCATAAGAGGCACCATGGCTGGACAGTCCCCCAGCAGAGGAGGCATCATGGTGGGACAGTCCCCCAGCAGAGGAGGCACCGTGGCTGGACAGTCCCCCTGCAGCAGCCTGAGCAGTCTGAGGGAAGCTCCGGAGAGGTCGGACCACAAACCCTCCAGGGACGCAAAGATGGGCTCTCAGGTCTGAAAGAGGCGACAACACATCAGTTGTTGATTGGAGATGTTTCTGTTTGTTGTAATTATAGTAATGAGTTAAGATATCGAGTGTTCCAACTTATGCTTTTATTTACTTAGTCCTCTGGTTTCATCTCGGGGGAAATCGAGATATTTATGCCACTAGTTCAATTAAATGTATTTGTGTATAGCCCTAAATGATTCATTGATTCACCCACAACAGAACAGAGAATCAAAGATTTTAAACAAAAAAAAACCACACCAGAAATCCGGGAAATCATCATCATCGGATTCAGTTGGTAGAGCATTGGTCTTTGAGCCAGAGGGTCGTGGGTTCGAGCCCGACTTTCACCATCGACTCCCACTGTCTGCTGTTGTTGTGTCCTTGGCAAGACGCTCTGGGAACACCAGCCACAGTGGGGCGGCTGCAGCTGTAAAGTGCCAAACTGCCGTTGTGTCCTTAGGCAAGACACTTCACCCCCATTGCCTAGAATGAGTCTGGTGTGTGTGTGAATAGTTGGTGGTGGTCGAAGGGGCCAATGGCACATACTGGTTGCCTCGCTTCTGTCAGTGTGCCCCAGGGCAGCTGTGGCTACAACAGTAGTTTATCACCACCGTGTATCGAGTGAAAGAATAATGACATGTGAAGCGTCTTTGAGTGTCCAAAAAGCGCTATATAAAACTGATGCATTATTATTATTCTCACTGTCCTTAGACCCTCCTGCATCGGCAAGGAAGGACTTAAAATATAAGAAAAAGTTGGAAAAATCATTACCTGTCCTTTCTTGGTAAATCAGAATAACACGCAGAGCTCAGATATTCCGGACAGCTGACCTTAGACCTTCTCCACACAGCGGGAGATCCATCTGTGCAAAAGTCAGGACACTGCTGCTTCTGTGCATGTTTGAAATAGAAACGGATCAGCTTCTATTTACATTTGCAGTGGTGATCGGAGGTTGCTCTTAGGTAATGTAACCTCAAACTGTTCTGAAATACAAAGTGTAGCCAACGCTGCAGCTGAAATCATAGAACAGGACTCACCCCTCTGGACATCCTTCACCACCCATAAAAAAAGTCTTCTTTAGTGCACCTAAATGCACTGCAGTATATTTTCTGTATGTGCAATTATACAGTTGTGGTTGAAGGTTTACACACCCAGATAGAAATGTTGAAAATGACCTTTTATTCTCTCTGGTCTCTCTGATGGTAAAGCTGCCCATTTTTCTTGGCAAAGAGCCTCCACTTCCTGCACATTTGAGATCTCCCCAGACTGGCTCAATGATGGTATAATTTGAAAATAAAAACACACATTTGTTTGACAACCACTAACAACGGATCCCCAAAATATGAATACAATATTGACATTTCTTGCTGGGATTTTCATGCACAACCGTTTGTTTAGTTTAGTTCAGACACTTTTATACACTTACAAGATGCAAAAGTTCATGTGCAGACTTAAGTATAAATGTTGGTGCTGTGTCTCAGGATGGACTGATCTCTCCGGAGACCGACAGCGGATTTGTGGGCTCAGAGGGAAGCCGCCTCACCCCTGCCACGGCGACCAGTCCTGTCCACAAGAGGGAGCCAACAGGGTGAGGCCATTATTTTAACCATTAAAGATGATATTGAGCCTATTCACTTTTTTATTTCATGTTTTAAAATATGAAACAATGTCTTCAGAAGAAAATGTATGGTCAAACAAGTATGCAGGGTAGATATTGTTGTCGGCCACATTTAACCCCATAGAACTCAGAAATACAAATAATGAATGAAAAGAATTATCTGTGCTATTTTTGGAAAGCAGCATTCAATGACCCAATTTGGCAATGTAGAATATTTACTTCTCTGTGTTCTTAGTTAATTAGTTTATGCATTAAACCAAAAAGTAAAGCTTCTTTTGCCATAATTGTTGAACTTTATGTTGCATATTTGTAATGGCGGGGTTAAAGATGGCCGCCTGCAAACACAGACATGCAACATTTTACAGAATTTCTCCATCTGTGAGATAATAAAGGATTGATTGATTGATTGTCATTTCACCTTTGGAAAAACTACTTATGGGCAATACTTTTATTTTGAAAGAAAGAAACTTCTCTGAGTACAGGACTGAGCACAGGCTTTAAATATGCCGTAAGTTCCGGAGTATAACCCGCTACTTTTTCTTTTCTTTCTATATTAGACCTGCGGCTAATGTAATTATGCAGCTAATTTGTAAGTAAGTAAGTAAGTAAGTGATCTTTAGTTATACACCACCTTTCACAGACCAGAGTCACAAAGCGGTTTACAATTGTTATTTTTTGTTGGGCATTTGTCCTCTCACTCCACACGGAGATGGGAGCGGGGTATGCCAGACCTATTGTACATGTTTTTAGTGGTAGGGGAAACCGGAGTACCCGGAGGAAACCTACGCAGACACGGGGAGAACTCAGAAAGGCCCTGGTCCGACCGGGATTCGAACCACTCAGCCACCGTGCCGCCCATAATATGTGTGTCTTTATTGTGATGGAGTTTGGCTGTTGTCAGAGCAGACTTTAGGGACTTATTATTTTGACTGTATCAAGTGTGAGTAGTTATAGGACACTTGTTTATTGTCAAAAATAGATCCAGGTGAATGAGCTGCGGCTTATATTCCTGTGCTGCCTATATGTGGACAGCATTGATTTTCTTTTATACACATGGTGCTCCTTATAGTCCAGAAAGTGTGGTACTATAAATTGTGTCTTCCGTATTTGTTTTTTATCCAGTGTTTTGGCAGTCGCACTTTCCCCTCCAGCGTCCACGAGCATACGGAGCAGAGAGGGGCCGGCGGAGAGAGCGAAGCCCAGCCGAAGGAGCCGCAGAGGGGATAAGACGCGGCCCTTTTCAGCCTCCAGCTCCCAGCTACACACACACAGAGGGGACAAGACCCGGTCCGCTCCATCCTCCAGCTCCCAGCTACACACACACAAAGGGGACAAGACCCGGCCCTCTTCAGCCTCACACTTAGAGCTACACACACAGAGAGGGAACAAGACCCGGTCCTCTTCAGCCTCACACTTAGAGCTACACACACAGAGAGGGAACAAGACCCGGTCCTCTCCATCCTCCAGCTCCCAGCTACACACACATAGAGGGGACAAGACCCGGTCTTCTTCGGTCTCACACTCAGAGCTACACACACAGAGAGGAGAGAAGACCCGGCCCTCTCCAGTGTCCTGCTCCCAGCTTCACTCACAGCGCGCTCACAGAGACGCCGACGGAGAGAGCAGCGCGTCCGGACACGGCAGCCAGAGCAGTCAGTCCACACATCAATGCTTTGTGTCTGGTATTATTTTGTTTTAAGCCACTGGAACTATACTTTTAGATTGAAATTAGGGTTAATTTAGAAGCATGGCTAATCATCGTTAAGTAATTTGCTTAGATGCATGGCTTACCATAATTTAAGAACATAGATGCATTTCCTACCTTGTCCCACCGACCGTTACACATCCAAGCACCTGATCATATCATCAGCTGATTGTGCATTGAGGTGTTTTGCCTTCTAAGTACACAGCGTATATATATTGTTGGTCTTCGTAACTTTCTGACTTTTTTGTTTCTAGATGTAGTTTATTTCAAAATCATTATTTAATCTTCTATCTTATTTTTGAGTTCTTCTGGACTAGTTCTGGTTCAACTTGGTTTTGGACCAGAGAGGAGTCAGTGCTTGTTACCATAGCAACAGACTGCAGCAGTTAGCATTTAGCCTTTCAACAAACAGTTTTTTTCTGTAATATAAGTTATATTCACCAGTATAAAACTTAAGTATAAGTATAAAATATTTACTTTTGATTACATCTGGTGGAAAACAAACTTTTTTGAGCGGGATTTCTCAGAATCCCATTGGTTTGTACGGGAGCTGTCTAATACACGGCTCTGGGAGTTCTGGTAGTTCCATAATTCTGTGAGTCCGAGTGTTAAATGAGGCCCATCGAGAGGATTTTGACTGAGCTTAAAACTGATCCAGGACATGTTTATTTCTTGGCCCCAGTATTAGGTCCCAGGATCAGATTATGAATGAATCTGAATCTGCGTTTCTGAAGAACAATAACGTGTTCACAGGCAGCTCCACGTCTGACGAGGACCACAGCGCACATTCCTCTGACTCCGCCTACTCCTGCTGTGGCCCCGCCTCCTGTTGCCACGGTGACCTGCTCAAGTCTTCAAACGCACACAGAGAGCCACAGCACCAGTATGTACCATGGATGTTTTGTTATTAATATTATGATTATACATAGACTCAACTTTATCGGGATCTTTATTTTCATGGTAACTACTTTTTGCACAGAGGAATTCAAAGAGAGGTGTTGATCCATGCCAACATCTGGAAAAATCACTCCCCTTTTTCTCATGATGATAAATCTTTGTTACGGCGAGAACAAATCCAATTTCTGCTTTTTAAAACAAAGCAGAAAATTTGCATGCCTTGAATTTGATTTTCAATTTGACTTCCAGATGCTGATTTCACACTTCTACCTCTAACTGGGAGCTTTGCGATTTTCAAATCAACTCAACTTTATTTACACAACAATGCAGGACAATAAAGTTGTTTTTAATTATAAAATTTTATTTGTATGTTTTTAATCTAAATGTTTGTTTTCAATGCCCTGTGAGATTTTACTGTTTTTAATATTCCTTGTGATCTTAATGGTTGTTTTTAATGTTTAGGATTTATGCCTCATGTGATAAGAGCTTGTGTTGGAAAAGCGCTCTACAAATAACAGCTGATGGATTGACTTATGTGTTAGAGCGAGATCATGCTAATTTTCAACACGTATAGGAGACTTTTAGGACATACATGCACACGTAAAAAACATGTTTATGTTTAATCAAATATACAATTTTGTTCAATGTGAACAATTTTGCTGCAATTTCCGCCAGTTTCAGTCTGACTAATACAGACATTGTTCACTCCTGGTTTCGCTGCAGACACTGTGAGTGAGTAGTGCGGCCTGTTGTGGCGTGTGCTTCCTCACTCTCCGCCCTCTGCGCTGCGCTGGTCTTGTTTTTGTTTTTTTTTCAAGGCGAGAGTTTTCACCAAGAGGAAGTGTATTCAATACAGTCTATGTTTCAGGGAGGCTCTCCACTCTCCACTGTTTCTGGGGGACAGAGCGGACCCCTGCACCTCCACGCCCCTCAGGTCTGAATCACAAACAGCAGATTGTGTGATTAAGAGATCCTTTATTTGTCCCACTGCGGGGAATTTTCAGTGTTGCATCACAAGTTACAGAACAGTAGGAATGAGGAGAAGTGAAAAATAATAATATCTAACTCTAGCATCAAAGAAACAAGTATAAAATCTCTATCTTTAATATATTAAAGAAGTATAAAATCTCTACATTCGGCAAACATCAGACGCAAGATCATCGTATTTAGAACTATTACAACTCAGATCCAGATTCAGTTCCTTTGCGACCTGAGCCACATGTAAGCTACGGCCTCGAAAAACAGTTTGGGTTTATTACTGTCTAAATCACAGCCATATTTGGTCGTAATTTCCACGTTGAACACATCTCGGCAAAAATACTAGGTCGCAAGGCGGGTTGAAGGCTGAGTCGTTTTGACACACCAGCCCGTGTTGCTCCGTGGCAAAGTGGGGACCAGTTTTTAGGCTAAAACCCGGGGTTCCTCTGGCAGAATACTTTGACCTCTATCCCCAGTATGAGTCCAGTGTTTAGAGAATGATTCTTTTCATTTCACATAATTTTTGTATAGCCCTAAATCACAACAGTAGTTATTGTGGAGGACGTCAACACAGATCAGAGAATCAAGCAGTTCAAAGACAAGAAATTCTATTATTAAAAAAACTCATAGAGCCTTTGGTTCATAAGGGGCGGTTGACCAATGTCCATAAATCTGGTTGAATGTGGAGTGTCCTCACCTGAATCATCACCTCTGTCCTCTTCTTCTCAGGTCAGAGAGACACAGGACACTTCACAGACACAGAGGGGACTCAAGATCTCAGAAGACTCAGACCGTGTCCAACAAACTCTCTCAGACCGACACATGTGAGACACTTTCCTAAAAACTGTCTTTTACAAGTTTGCGTCTCTCTCTCTTTTCTCTCTCCCTCCGGCTTTCTCTCTCTGTCTCTCTCTCTTTGTCTGTCTCTCTCTCATTCTCTGTCCCTCTGTTTCTCTTTCTGTCTCTATCGCTTTCTCTCTCTCAAAAACTTGTTACAAAAAGGGCTGTTGTGGCTGTGGGAAATTCATGAAAGTTTGAGTCATCTTTAGTCGGTACATTTCAGAGAATCAGAATCAATGTATTGCCATTTGCAGAATACACGACATTGGAATTCAAACAGGAGACACCGGGGGCACCAACACCACAAAGCACACATACACACACACACACACACATATAGGCACATATAAAAGTCTTATATGTGCCTCTCATATTTGAAGCCGCTGTTGTTCCACTGATCTCTTCAACAATATTTTTTGCTGCAGGTTTTCCTCAGCGAGTGTCCAGACCCACCCAGACCTCCGCCGTCTCTCCGTCACGCCCAGAGCCGGAGCATAGACCTGTCCGCAGTAAGGACCCTCTGCTTTTCATCACAAGGACTTTTCTTTTTCTTCAATGGAAAGGCAAATGTTTCTCTCTGGTGTGTCCACACTCGTCTCTTCTTTTGGGGAGATCTTTCTTTCAAACCCAACACATCATTAGAAGTTAAATAGTAAAATATTAAACAAAGTCTTCAACTTTATATAAACAACAAACACATTTTGTTTTCAGAATAATCTACCAGAAAATAATAGTGAAACTTGTGTCACATTAAAGTCATGTCCAAATCCCTTCATAATCTGAAACACAATTATGAGAAAAGAAAATGCCTTCCATTCCTTTGGCCCCTGACCAAAATGAGTTTGACCCAAATCAGAACAGATTCCAACACGGTTTTGAATGTTTGCAGAAGACGACTCAGAGCGAACAGAAGCCGCAGAACAAGATTGTCCCGAGTGTTTGAGGAGAGCGTCCACCTGTGAGTGCAGTTAACGTGAGATAGAAAAAAATGACAGCAGGTCTTTGAATTATAAATAATCACAGTGCGTTTAAATGGAGTGAAGATTCAATTTGAACATTGTCAGAGTAGAAGCCTGTCTCACATTTCTGTTCTAGGGTTTAGTTGCAGGAATCTGAAACACTGCCTCCCCATGTCCTGACTCTGGGACCAGCAGGAGGCCAGTCCCTGTGCTCCTCAGAGTCCCAGCAGGAGGCCAGTCCCTGTGCTCCTCAAAGTCCCAGCAGGAGGCCAGTCCCTGTGCTCCTAAAAGTCCAGGAGGCCAGTCTGTTGTGTGTCTTGTCAGTTTTTGGTCCTTATGTGAGTGTTTGTGTGTTGTGTTTGCAGCCTCTCCAGACCGAGCTGAGCCCAGTGTGTCGGTGCTTCCACATCTGCTGCTGTGAGTTACACCACACACCACCACTGAACCTTTTAAATCATAGCGAGAATATTTATTTATACGCTGAAACAAGTGTTAACACCAGAACTCCCAGAGCAGTCAATTTGACGGCCTTTAGTGTTGTCAGTGTAATTACTTTGAAATTTGTGACTTTTTCTGTTTCTATATGTAGTGTATTTTTGATTACATTTTCTTTTACTTTTGAAATTATAGTAGTTATTCCTTTTCCTCACAGAGTAGAGTCAGTACCAGTACCTCTAGTTACCATAGCAACATAATGTTTACTTTCTACCAAACTGCTTTTTGCTGTATTTAAAGTTATATTCACCAGTTTTGCACTTTTATGTGAGAAAAAAGTGAGTAAAGATAAAATAAAATCTTATAAATGACTTACTTTAATAGTTCTGTCAAAAAACAAAGTTTCTGTAGCAATTTCTCATAAACCCATTGGTTTGAATGAGAACAGTCAAAATGACGGCTGTCAGAGTGCTAGTAGTTTCATAAATGTGGGAGTCCAAGTGTTAAAAGCTCATAAAAAGCTGATTTTGCTTAACGTCTATTGTTGAAGTCAATTCTACCAAATATTAAAGGTATAAAGGAGGATTTTCCCAAATTTGAGGAAAGAACCGCCCTCACCACATTTTTAACAAAACTCTCTGGTCTTTTTTGGCAAACATGTATCCCCAGAATGATTGACAGTTGGGAGGACCAATAGTCTTGATGATCCACTCAGAAGTAGAAAATCCTCCTGTATACCTTTAACTGTGTGTTTGTGAAAGTGGGACAGTACAATGACGGACCACACGTGTCTCCTCCTCAGTCTTTACCCGCAGCCTCCGCACTCTCACTCCGCCGCGGCTCAGAGCGCGGAGGAGTCCAGGCCGCGGCGCCGCAGAGAGGGGGGAGGCGCGCATCGGGAACCCGCCCTCGCGCCCTCGGCTATGGACGCGGATCTGCGCCGAGCCCTGCGAGCCGCACGGACCATGAGGCTCTCGTCCAGACACATGGTGCTCACGCTGGACTCGGGTCTGCGGCACCAGCGCGCTCTCACCGCAATAAACACCACCTGGTCCTGAACGTGTTTCTGCTGCCGGGCGTTTTAAAGGGGAGGTCTGAGACTTTTCAAACTGTGAAGAGAGAGAGGGAAACTTTTGTAGACAAGCACTGGTTAGACCCACGCAAAACAACATTGATTTAAATCCTTAAGGAACAGTTCAATTTAATTCATGTGGGTTTGTTTATCCGCTGTCGTCTGGGAGATTTTTTCAAAGTTGTCGATTTGCAATCAACAGAACAGAGGATCAAACAGTTCTAACACAGGAAATTCAAAAATATCAAACAGATAAGAGTAGGGGTGCAACGGTTTGAAAAAATCACGGTTCGGTTCGTACCTCGGTTCAGAGGCCACGGTTCGGTTCATTTTTCGGTTCATTTTTCAAAAAAAAAGTGTTGTCTTTTTAATAAACACAGCTCATGTGGACTCGGCACCTGCTCTGACTGCCCCCCCCCCTGACCTAGAAATGAATTAAGGGGAAGGAAATGGATGGATGGATGGAAGGCATATTCCATCCATCCAATTATGTCTATTTAACATAATTAATGAAAAACAACACAAAGTGCAACATAAGAAGGCACTTTATGAGGATATTTACTCTCATATTACACCACCTTCCTGATTCGAGGAGGCGCTCCATTCTGGGCCCAGCCTCATTCACTGAATTTATTTAATTTTTGGCATTATCAGTTGTGACTGGGATATTAGTACTGGGCCTTTGTCTTCCATTCCTCCGCTGCTTGTGTCAGTACCGGCGCTGTGTGACAGTGTGACTGTCGTAGAGGGGGCGTGTCTTCAGCGCCAGACTTTTCATCTCCCAGTCTGCAGTGATGAAGTGAGCGGTTCTGCTCATGGATCTATTATAGGTTCCGCGGGACGTCCAAGCGTCAGTCGTGAGCGCAGCTGAGGATGCGCGGGAGAGTTGACTTTAGCCCGGTCTGACTGTGCGTAAAGGAGCTGCTTAAATGCCGCGACAATAGGTGGTCGTTGAGACGCTTTTTTCACTCATGTCTTTCTTGTGCCACAGTGCTTACACATCGTGACAGTTTTGTCGAATATTAATTATCAGTGTAGTTACAGTGAAGCCAAAATGCTCTCATACTGGGGATTTAAATGACGCAGGGCTTTCAAGTATCTCCGTTCCTCCGCTCGCAATGACCGCGCTGTGTGTGGACTGAACAACGTGCGCACAACTTTTTTTTCATAAATCAAACCGCGGATCACGTCTGTACCGAACCGAAGACGTTGAACCGAACGGATCACGGATCAGTGATGAACCGTTGCACCTCTAGATAAGAGCCATAGGGAGCGGGATGATGTCTATGAATGTTATAAATGAATATCCTGGGTCGAAGTTTCTTCTAAAATTCAAATACAATTGAAGTTGTTGAAATGACCTAACATAACACATATTATGCATTTCTTTCCATGTTTTTCTTTTTTTTTTTTGCAATCATTTCTCATTTCTGATAACCATAACAAAAAGAGGAATAAAAACCTGTGTTAGAAACTGTGTATATAAAATCCGTGTAACGAGTTCTAGTTTGAGGTCATGGAGAAAGCACAGCAGCTTTACATTCTCTGAGCCACAGGAGCCAAGACCTGAGAACTGGACTCACGTGATGGTACTTCCTGGGTCTAGTCCAGGACCCAAACTGCAGCTGTATGGAGCCCAGTGAGCAGATGTTACCATGGGCTGACCTGCTGGAGACTCTAGATACAATTAATCCATTACCTATTACTGATAATTCTTCTCAGGGACCTGTTCTTCCCGATCTCTCGCTGACAAACGTCTCCCGTGTGAGCGTCACAGGCAGATTATGTTTGATCATATTGATTGTTAAAATGTTGAAATTGTTTGGATGTTTTATTCATTGAGAAATATATTAATCTTCAGGGATTTTAACTTTGACAGATGTTGGGACCAAAGCTGGATTGAGTGGTCACATGTTGTAGCATCTTAATCCTAAAACTAGTAATGTACTTTTTATTGACAAAGTAATTGAATATTTGTAACATACCTGTTTTTAAAGGCAGCTTTGCTTTTGTAACTGTGTAGAAATGCATTGATGAAAGTTCACGCTGGATTCTCACTGTTTTAGATCTAACACAACTGTATGAACTAAACATGTTTGTGTTTCTGTGTGTATTTTTTATATGGTTTTGACTGTTCTTATGTTTGTGTTTTATACTTTTTTATTTGTTTAAATATAACTATTTTTGGACATGTGTCTATTGTGGTATTTCTGGTGTTACAAAGCAGTTAACTGTCGATAATATAAATACCACCGTGATGAACTGTTCTCCCACCTTCACTTTCATGTGCAGTTCTATCTACTGTCCACAAGATGGCGGTGGAACACAGTCCCCTTGTGGTACACAGGATAACGCACAGATTCACATTCAGTTTATTTGCTGTAAAACCACATTGGAATACATGTAATCTGCTTTAAAGTTGGCTTTAGGCTTCAAGAAACTATATTTTTTGATTCTGGTAATGATTTTCAGATGTTAAAATTATAACTCATTAATGATATTACTTATCCTTAGCTATCCTTATGAGCTGAGCCAAATCAACTGACCCTCCAGGTTCTCTGCGAAGTCCTCTCTCTGTCCCTGGCTCAGACTGACTCAGAAAATAGTTAAAACAGTCTTATCAAAATGTTCAGAAGGGAAGGAAGTCCAAGTCCTGGACAGTCCTGGTCTGGTTCCTGTACTCCCTTTTTAGCGAGTTAAGACTCCCACTTCTCTGAAAAACACTGGACAAGGAACAAGCTCCAAGACTGTCCGCACTGAACTCTTTAAACTCACTGACCTCAGGCTAATATAAATACACTTTGATATAAAACATTTCATAATTAAATATAGAAATTAATAATTTGATAAATGTTGACATACTGTATGAATAAAAACAGTGTTCTTAATCTGCAGCACCAACCATGCTTTCACTTTAATAAGACACATCTAAAACTCAAGTTAAAGGAACCGTATGCTGTGTTCTAATTATTCTTTATTTGAGACTCAACTTCATTTGGTCCAGTCTTATGTGTGTCAATCACTGAGGAGTGACCTAAAGCTGCCCTGACCCCTATAATAATCTATAAAAGAGTGGACCGGAGCCGGTGAGGTTATGGAAGCCGATTTTATTGACAGCCTTAAACATGACAAACACATGGAAGTATTGTTTGTGCTTCGTCACTCGCAGACGCACAACCGCATAAAGAGCTGAGAACATTTGACTCTCATAAATAATCTTTGTAAATCCAGTGTTTTGAGTCAGCCCTATACAACATACAGCAACTCAACCCAAAACAACAACAAAAAAAACCAACTCAAAGAACTCAACACAAGCGTTTGCATCACAGAAAACGCAGATAGTGCAAAAGTACAACTCGTTTGGCCAGGGTTTGGGAGATTTTTAATAATCGCAAAGCCTTTTACCGTTGTGTGTGGGAGCGGGGTTCTACATTGCACCAGATAACAAAGAAAGAAGTCGTTATTATTGGGCTATTGTTTTTTTCTACGTGTTTATTAAAATCTAAGCTACAGCTACTTCACAAACATATCAGCTTCACGTGAGCGTTTTTGAAAAGGAAAAAACCACTACATCACAGTCCGAAAAGTCACCAGTCAACATTGAGACGCTAAAAACGGCAAACGAATGGTTTCACACGACACTACAGCGCATTTTCCGACGCAAGGAAATCAACCGATGGCCCTTTGTACGATTAGCAAGCATTAGTGGGCCTTTATAGAGACATTAACATCTTTGAAGATTTTTTTAAATGCAAAAATAATAGGTGACAATACTCTACAGTTTTGTTCTTAACAGAGCTTTGTTGGCGAGCAATTTGGAAAATGTAAATCCGCGGGAAATTGACGTTTTGCGAGCATAAAACATACACACATACACACACACACTGGTCCCCGTATTGTCTGTCTGCGAACAAGGAAAGGCTAGTCACATCCATTCATAAATTCTTCTGCTTTGTACGTTTCCGGGTTGAAGGTGTCCAGAACACTATTAGGGATGCGTCCAGGAGGCATCCAAAAAAGATGCCCGAGCCACTATCAACTGGCTCCAACGTAGAGAAGTAGCGGCTCTACTCCGAGCTCCTCCCGTGTGACTGAACTCCTCGCCATATCTCTAAAGCAGCGCCCAGCCACTCTGCGGAGGGAACTCACGAAGACCGCTTGTCTCCGTAATCTCGTCCTTTTGGTCAATACCCAAAGCTCACGACCAGAGGTGAGGGAGGAGATGTAGACTATCCGGTAAATCGAGAGCTTTGACTGCAGACGCTGCTCCAACTTCAATAGTTCAAAATAAAAATGGAAATTGTATCAAACTGTTGCTGTTGTTTTGAGCAGCTACTCTAGAAAAAGACACTAGAATTGATAAATCTTTTTATTGAATTTTCTACTTTTTTGAATCGTACAGTGAGTATTCATTCATTGAACTAACTTTTCCTTGTTCGCATTGCAACATCTTTGTGTAGCCTATAAATTCCAAAGCTAATTTCTTTTTTTTTCTCTATCAGGGACCGACCGGACACTCCTCCATCCGCTAACATTGCATATAACAAGTTTATTTAAACGCCCGAAACGTCAATTTTCAACGGTATTTCTTTTTCAGAGCACAAATCCCAGGACATCCGGACACAAACACGGCAACAGTCCAAACGATTCCAAGCATGCGACTGGATAAAACACCTCATTTTGGAAGAGGGGAGGGAAAGAGGGGGCGATGGAGCTCTCGGGATGAAATATAGATTTATATGTATATGTATTGCATGTTTTTTTAATGATATGACTTATTATTTTACAACATCAAACGTCCCTCCAGCATGTCTCTGCGAAAACGTTCACACCGGAAAGATAGAAACGATAATTTGGTCGGTTTTCAATGGTCTCGGGGTCATGTTGTCCACGTTCAGCTCCTTGTTACAACTAGAGATGTCAAGACTGCTCAATAATTGTGATTTTTGGGAACTGTATTGAACGTTACTGGCTTATGTTGGCTCA